GAGGAACTGGAGATACAGGTGTTCTCTCTTCATTCTTATTACCATGATCCCACTATTCTGATTTTAAGGTTGTCTTTTCAATATTTTCATTCTACATTTAAAAGTATAATATTTTGTTCCCTGAGAAACATTTCTAGTGCATAGATAGCAGAGTGGGTGCTATGTATTCCTCTGAGACCATGCAATAAATTCCCATTCAATAGACACAAATTACCAGTATTGCAATGGTGAACTCAGCTCCCAGGACAGAACAGGCAACATTCCTAAGCAATTCCTCTCTTACTGTAACTCCCAGTTTTCATATTAATAATAGGGGGGAAAGCCCTAAAACTGTGGGGTGGTTACAGGTAAGATATGCAGGTAAGAGAGATTGTGGGCTCTTGCAAGTGTTGTATGTCTCTGCTGGATGTGCCTTGAGATACCTGCTCTAATCAGATATATTTTTAAGCAGGACACTGAACTGGATGACTCCTTCCCTTCCAAAGTTATGACTCTGTAATTTAATTTGTCCCTTGTAAATATTAATGGAAAAACAAAACAAAGCAGAGCACCAACAAAGCCCAAATCAAGAATGTTCTAGAAAGGGCATCACATACTGCAACAGAATATTTCCTCTGTCTTTTATTTGTCTTTAACTTCCTGGGTTATTCCACAAAAATTGTAAAGATGAGGTGGTTTTTATAACAAATTTTGTTAGAAGTTGTCAGATAACAATTCTGAATCTTATGAAAAATTAATTATACGTGGTGCAGTGCTTATTGAAAGAAACTGACTTTTTAATGAAGATATGAATACCTAAATCCTTTCTAGTTCTCATTTTTATATTCATCCTGACCTTCCCATATCGCCTTTGCCCTGAGCCGTGTTGTTCTAAATTGCTTGCTTACTGTTCTAAAACTGTTCAGTGAATTAGGAAATGGACAGACAATGAGGAACATGATTTGTACTGCTTAGACCATTAAACTCCTGATCAAGTTAGAAAGTTTTTCTCAGGTCCTTTGTCATCAGTGTCTTTTGAATAATGATAAGCAATGATGTTGACATGATGGTGACATTATTGTCTTTTACCTACTAAAATTTTGAAAGAAATTGAACACAAATCCCAGTTCTTGTTCTTGATATGAAAGTTCTATGTGGTACTGCTGTGAATCACCTCCCAGAAGTTTCAAGGCTGGTACGTTTTTGCGTCTGTGAGATGATTCCTATACGTGGATTGTAGACACACCGTGATGGAAAGGCCTGCATCAATACAAGTAAATGCGTGGGTGTCTTGTTAATTGAAAGGTAATAAGTTTACAGGGTTTTATAGATAGATAAATACTATAATGTTACTAACAAATTGATATTCCTGATAGAGGAGCATGGTAATTAGTTCTTCTTAGTAGTTGCCTAGGAAATGCTCTGCACCTCAGTCATTCTTGCTCAAACTCATGGTCTAACAAGGAAAATTACCATATGATTTTTATCATATTGTCAAATGTATTCTAAAATGAATATCATGAGTGGAGTATAGATAATCTTTGGAAATACTGATACAAGGTGCCTGAAAGTCTCATGCAGGGTTGGCTGTGATATCACTACAGTAATGTTCTCTGACCTGGTCAGTCTGTTTGAGCACTCTCTGGCTTTCTGCTAAAGCCTGACTTAAAGTCAACCAAAATCCCTAAACAGAGGCTCCTGCTATATATGGAGAAAGAAAACAGAAAGAAGCAAAAAAATTGAAGAAGTTATCTCAATATTGCAATCATTTTAAAGATGGGCTTGGAAAATAAACTTGCACATTGTGATTTCATTGTCTGAAAATACTCAAGGAAGCAAATTTTTGTCAGAAAATAGCCATAGATTTTTGTTCATAAAAGCTAATTTTCAAATACATAAAAACTGAGTTTGGTTTTTTATATCTATAACTTGATAATTTCATATTCAAGAAATTCAGACTGCTTTCTTTGACTAATTGGATAATTTGTTTTTTGTATTTGTATTTGTGTATTTGGACCTGATGCTTACATCTGATTTCCTTACTTTGCTGACTTATTTATTTTCATTCTTCCTGTGTGATTTTAGATTTTGCTGTTTGTGCTTTCTCTGACCTTGCAGATTTCTACCTTCTCTTGATGAACCTTTTTTCCTTAGTGCAAAGCACTGTGCTGACATTGGTATCCATGCAACTGTTTGAGGATTTGACCTGTTCTTGTTCAGATCACTTTGTCCTAGACTGATATATCTCGTTGGATATTTAGTGACTACTTTGCATACAGAATTCTGACTCCACCTCAGGAAGCCCTTTTAGATATGTCTCCATTTGTAATGGATAAATTTTGTTGATTGTTAGTGAACACTTGATGATCCCCTTGCCTCTGTTGCCAGATCTGTTTCACAAAGAGCAGCAAACTTGTGCCTGGATTGTTACAGAGGTATTTTCCCCAAATGACCTGTGCTTCTGCAGCACCTCTCAGGGCTGCTCAGCTCTGATAACGTGCATGCTCTCTGCTGTGCATTATGACAGTCTGAGTGACATGCCATGCAATGAATAATAATGTGTCATAGCTGCAAGTAGTTAGAGCTTCCCTCACTTCTAGCACCTCGCCTAATGTGCCTCTCCCACACACTTTTGTGACAAAGGGCTGAGATATAAATATATACTTGCTCTGATTTAACCAGAGCAGAAATTCTTGTCATTCTAGAGCTTAGCATATAAGGTCTTCATCAGCATGGTTGTCCTATAAATATCCCACTGAAATACCTTAGAGAATCAAATCCCAAGGATGGCCATAGGTGTAATACAGAAGTAGCCCAGAGAAAACATCAATCAGTTTACTAAAGTGGGAATGTATGAAATGCAGGTATTTGAAGTTTTTTGCAGCAAGGTACAGAAGAGGTATCTCAAATGTTTTCCCTGTCTTAGTATTAGCATATTCTGGAAATAAATTCCCATCTGTGAATAAATTGCCTAATGCATATTCTCTCTGCATTGAATTGCCCCAGTAATTATGACAAGCTGCAGTTTGTTTTGAGTTTTTAGGGTTTTTTAACTGACCAGCAGGCTTAATGACTGACTCATATCTTGCCATGCACTGCCTCCCACCTAATACCATAGTGACAAGCTGCTCGTTTTCTTCTGTTCAAAAGAAATAAGGAGTAGCAATTAAGTCTTTCCAAAAATGAGATAGTAATCAATACCAGTATGATTAAACTGACCTGAATGGTGCTGACTACCTGTAAGGTATACTCATTACCCCTGCAAGGTTACACATGGGCCTTAAACATTTAGCACCTATTAATTTATGTTATATTAGCAAACAAAAAATTAGTATTCTCTTCTGGAAGGCTTCTAAAGATGAAAACATATGGGACTTAGCTGATTAATGCTCTTAGACAAAATCTGTAAATCACAGAATTTTCCAAATCCACATGTTTAAGCACGTTATTTTAAAATATATTTTAGAGATTTTGTTTGTGGAATAAAGTCAGATTTTGTGATGTTCTGACTTTGCTCAAAAAATTTTAAATTGAAGAATTTCAGCAAGCACAAATTCTTGTGTAAACAATGAGAATTTCTGATCTTAAACACATTAATTTAATAGGAACAATGCCAATGCTGCTCTGCTACAAACAAGCAGAAAATCCTAAACTATCAAATTCAAGGACCAATTTGCATCAATCTCTCTAAAAGTATATACTTTCTAATATCTAAAATATAGTTTATTTTCAAATATATACCTAAATTTTGTCAATTATTTATCACAAATTTTTGAATGTTCTTTTATATAAATATCTATTTCTTAAATCTTTCTGACCATAAAACCTCCATGTCAATTACATTTAAACATTAAAGCATTTAAATATTACCATTCTTCATTATAAACATCTGTGTATATAGTTTATGTATCTGAAAGGCAGAAACAAGCCAATTTTTGATTCTTCTATCTGCAGTAGTCATGCAGGAAAAAAAATAGTAATTGCCATACAATTCTGTAATTTTCAATAGCTATGCAAATTCTTAAAAAAATGCTATGGGAAAATAATTCTGTAAAAAAGATCACTTTGGAACCACATATTTATTTTTTATTTTAATATCAATAAATAACAAGGGATAGATTTCTATTTTGTTCATATTTATTTTCCTAAATACCTGAAAGCAGGAGCATTAACTAAAAAACACAAAAAACTATACTGATTTGTCTTTAATTATCATATTCCTTAGGACAGATTTTAATATGAAATTGAAACAACCTTTGCAACCTGAATTTTTTGAGGGATTGTATTAAAATTTTTCTTTGAAACTAATATTTTCTTCTAAATTTCTCTTCCAGAAAAAAAAAATGTTAGTAAAATATACTGTGCTTTTGTATTATAGATGGTTAATTCCTGCTTCCAATTCTATGTCTTTATGGATGGAGTTGCTAAATGTGTTTTCCAGAAGTGATGACTCATTGTAGTTGGCTCATCTTTGGAGAGCACATTCTAACTGGAACTGGATTTAGCAAATATTGCTCTGCTGCTTTTGAAAATAAGGCCCACTTGAAACATTTTAAATGAAAAACCATTTCCTTTGACCTCCTGATTTTTACAAAATTTATTTTCCGTTAAGTTTTGAAGAACTTTGGGAAATTTGTCTGCAGCCTCTTATTCTAATTTTCTTAATATTAGCTGTTCTTATTGTTCAAAGACTATGAGTACTGTGATTTTTGAAGCCAGTAGTGCTCCTGATCTCTTATACATTTTTTTATATTTCATACTTCCACTGACATGCACAAAGTAGTGTAAAGCAAATACAATTTAAAGGAAATGCAGTCTCAATCTAAGCTAGGAGAAAAGTTCAAGGAGACTAAAATAGAAGGTCTGAAAAACCAAAAAAGCATTTAGTACAACTCTGGATCAACTCCAGACTTCTGTGCATCACCTCTTGTGGTTAATTTTGGGGTTTTTTTCCCCACACTCAAACAATTTATAATAATCATGATGTGCAGCTTCTTAGAACAATGTTTCATCCCTTCCAGGTGTTTTTTTCCTGTTCACCACCAGAAGTAATCCTTTTAACAAGAAACTCTTGCTGAGACCTTGAAGATCAGATGTGATTCAGTAAGGTATTGATGTAATACTTAGTATTGATTTAATATTTAGTACCATTCCACCTGGGAATGAAGTTCAGAGAGTTTGTAGGAAAACTTAGCCCAAATTATCACAAAATAAAAATAAATAAGAAAATCTTGTTTATTAATACAATAAAAATAAAATATTAATTGGAATAATAAAATAAAATATTTTTAAAGAAAATACTCTTTAAATAATCATTATACTTGCAATCACATTCACCACTTGTGGCTGACAACATTTCTTTTTATTAAGATGTCTAATATGGGGTAAATAAAGAACGAGAAAAGTTCTCAATCACAGATTTTTAAGAACTTTTCAAAGGATTCTGGAGGAAAAATAAGTTTATTCATATTAAACTTGTTTCCTTTCATTGTCTTCAAAATGTTGAGTTACCTTTTCCACTTGTAACATTTCCAGGGCTTAAGTGCAAATCCAATGAGAATTGGTCTTGGCTATTCTTCTGCTTATAGTGCTTTATGAAGTGAAAGTTATGGAATAATCTGTTATAGAATAGTCTTGTATTCTTTTTACAAATGACAATACAGTGGACTAGGGTAGGCTATTGGTCTGTTCTGGAGTGGCAGTAACCCAGTAAATTCCAAAAAAGTTGCAAGAGGCTCATCGTCTTGTAGTGTTTCGTCCGTCTCTCTAAGATGACACTGAAAGATGATTAGGTATTTCATATGCTCTTTAAATGTTGTAGAGTTTTAATGTGTTTTTGGAGGTAGAAGGGAGAGCTGAGCACCTGATGAGAAAATCCAAGAAAATTAAAGCTGAAAATTTTTTTTTATGTAGCTTATACCATAGTTCAGAAAAATTGTGATTATAAATACAGAGCTTCTTGCCTTTGTTTGTTTCTAGGTCCTAAATTGTTCGTTGACTCCTCATCCACCTAGTTTAAGTCAACATCTGTCAATATACATTTATATTACAACATGCTCAGGGATCTTAAATTATTTAATATCAAGTATTGACTCCTAGGGAACAGAAAAGAACGATAATTATTTAGCGGGATGGCTTTTTTACCTTATTTGCTACCTTATATTTTCCAATCTGCCTTGCCTGGTGTAGTGCACATGATGTGGTGATTATGGGGTCTGGTCATACACGGACACTACTGGAAGACTTTAGGTGAGTCCTTCCTCTTTAACAATGCAGTAAGTATGGTTTCCATTTTGCAGGTAGAGAGGCAGGCGTGGAGAGAATCAAACAGCCCATCTTGAGATCATGCAAAGACTCTGGAAATACAATTCCAGGCAGTTCTGGCTATAACGCTTTTGATGCCCACATCACTAGCAGCAGTTCTACAAGCACTGACGGTAAGAAATCAGGTCCTTATATAATATGCATTATAGTATTTCAATCCATTTAAATTTAGACAAATTTGGAGGGACAAAAAAAGCATATGTTGTTTATTTGTGGCCAAGGATGAGCCATTAGTACTTTAAGGGGCAAAAAAAAAAGGAAAAGGGAGTTGAAAAAAAATTGCTATGAAAGTACAAGGGTTTTTTATATTGACAAATGAGAATGAAGTGAAAATTTTTTCTCATGTGCAGATAATTCCCCAGTGTTGAATGTAGGAATAGTAGATGCTGAAGATCTTTAGCTGAAGTAATTTATTTTATATGTACCTGAAAAGAGATCTTGAAAATTAAATTTTTTCACTTCCGAAATGTTATTTATGCCACAAAATTTTCTTATTTTTTTCCATTTTGACAATTTGCCCTCTCTATGCAACATTTATTTTCCTCCCCAATTTATTGAAAGCTGTAACTTTCTTAGCATGGTTAAAGCAAAACGTTATGCTTTTTTGTGATGAAAATTTAAAGGTCTTGGGTGTTACCTTTTCTTTGGCTCTGAAGTTAAATTGTAAATCTTCTCCCTGTATCAGAATTTCAGTTTAAATATATGCTAAACATAAGGGCAAGGTAGGGAAATATGGCTGCTATGTTGTTTCTCATTAAAGTTTCGAAGTATATGTGCTTAGGATTTAATTCTCAATATGTGGAAATTGTATTTTCCAGTCACAATAACTCCACAGGAGAAGAAATTAGGATGTCTGATGCATTCATCTCTGTGTCAAAGTATCATATTTTTGCTATTTAATATTCACTGAGGGAAAAAAAGGCTGTCACACTATAAAGATATTATTTTCAAACAGATGTATCATTCCTCCCAAATCTAGTTGTCTATATTCTTAAATTTTACATTCTCAGAAATTTAATTTAAAAGAAACAGTCCCTCTTTTTTACTCTGCTAACATTTTCCAATCTCAATGATTATATAATTGTGTGATTTAGAAAACGAAATACATATTAAATGAGGCATGGATATAAAATGAAGAATGCTCTATTCTCATTTACACCTGCATTAATCTGGAGATGGTCCATTGAAATCAAAGGAGTTATTCCTCCCTAAGGAATGAATTCATGACAGCCTGATGTCAATGGCACTCAGTCCTAGAAAGGAGAGAAATCTTCTCAGTCTGAATTCCAAGCCTGAAATTAGTGATATGAGAAAATCACAGGATTTGGGTACTATTCACAGAACTGTTATAGAATGGAAGCACTTGAAATTTATATGTCCTGTTCAGAATTGCAACATAATTCCAAGAGCTGAATTAGGAAATGTTTACCTTTTTCTGTTAGTAGTTTTTCTTTCTCATATTTTTTTTCCTCAAAGCATAATTCATTTTAGAAAACAAGAGAGGCCCTCTGCTAGTGCACAGTTGAATGCTAAGCACATAAGTCTCCTAAGCCCACAGTAAATAAAAGAAACTAAAAGCACTTTAGAAAAAATATTTTTACCAGTTAAGTATGAAGTTTCTTATTTTCCTTTTTATATAAATAGTTACATGGACTGTTAAATTGCAGAATCATGGAATACTTGATTCTAAGGACCTTCTAAGGTCACATAGTCCATCCCCACTGCTCAAGCAGGTTCACCTGTTGCAAATTGCCTGGTGCCATGTCCAGATGGCTTCTGAATGTTACCAAGAGGGGAAACCTCCACAATCTCCCAGGACCCCTGAGCCAGTGCTCTTACTATCATAGTAAAAAACATTTCATGATCTTCAGAGGGAACCTCTGGTGTTTCACTGTGAGCCCACTGCCTCTGGTTCTGTCACTGGGCATCACTGGCTCCATCCTATTTGCACTCTCCCTCCATCTACATATAGACATTAACAAGATTCCACCAAGCCTCCTCTTCTCCAGGCTAAGCAGTTCTCAGTTCTTCCATCCTTTGCCCATAGGAAAAATGCTCCAGTCTCTTGTTTTCATGCTGTCTTGTTGGACTTCCTCCAGTCTGTCCATGTCTCTCTTGTACTGAGCAGCTCAGATCTGGTCACAGCACTCCAGGTGTGACCTCTCTTGGGCTGAGCAGAGGGGAAGAATCACCTCCCTCCACCTGTTGGCAATGTCTTGCAGCCCAGGATACCATTAGACCTCTTTGCAGTGAGGGCATGCCTCTTGATCAGTTTGGGGAATTGGTTTGTCACTGCATAACAGAAAATGTGACAATATATGACTCAGTTGCATAAGAAGAAATTCTAGAAAGTCTCTCTAAGCAGCAGGCTGTTTTCACTCATGGATGGTTAGCATGGAAAATGAAAATTTGTGCAAATGTACAACAACTCTAAATTTGTCCCATTCACCCAACTGCACAAAGAACATGCAATAAACGTTCAGAAGTTTCGAGAATTTGGTTCCCTTAAATGTAAACAACAAACTCCAACATTCAGTTCTATCTTTATCAGAAACAGTTGTTCTTATGATACTATGAAGAGATTAGTTTATTAAAGAGTCAGGTACACATGCCTGTGTCAAAATCATGTGATGTGGTATTATCCAGATTTTCTGAAAAGGAAGATATCTTTTCTTTTACATCTTCCAAGCTGCTATGACCCAGTAGAAATTACCTGGGGAAAAAAAAATCTTACCAGAACTGTAACCATCATTAAAAAAACCCCATGAAAATTAATAAATGAAGCAGTAACCATCAGCTGCTAATTTTGATGGTATGCATCTGATTTTAGTGCTTTTTGTATTAAAAAATTGAACCATAATCAGTGAAATCACATAAACAGGAAATTATGTACTATGGGCTCCAATTACAATAGAAAATTTACATACTTTTGGTTAGCTTATATATATTTTATATAGTCTGAGAGTTTTAGGATCTCCACTGAATTCATTAACTGATTAATGAGCTTGATCCTAGATCTGTGCAGTCAAAAGTATGTTTGTCAGCAAACTTTATTCCCCTTTGAAAGTAGTAAGCTGTAAGAGAATTCAAATACTCTCTCCATATGCAAAGATATTCTTGTCAGCAAAACTAAATAAAATAGAAAGAATATTATATTCCACCACTTTCTTTATGATTTCCTCATTTTTATTTAAAAGGAAGGTGGGACTGTCTTAGTAAAATGTTGCAATTGCTTTTCCCTTTGTCTAAGTAAAGAACTCTGGTTTTAGTGTTTTTTCCTCAAATTTTGCTTCTGTTTATTCAATTACAATGTTTCTCTTCTCCTTTGTTTAGGGTCAGAATCCTTTTCTCTTAGGCTTTAGCCATGTTTCTCTTCTACTAAAAGACTGAATATTGTGAATGTTTGGTCTTTTCCACTATTCTCTTCCAGGGTTAGTCATACACAGAGCAACAGTTCTGTAGCTGGCTTGTTTGGAAGGAAGGAAAACAATCTATATAGCAATCTTTATAACAATCTGTTCTTCGTGTTTATTATGCGAAGATTTGCCAGTACATACATTTGAGTTTTGTTATCATTCCCTACATGGGATTGGGTAAGATTCAAGGCAATATACAAACAATACTGTTTCAAGGCAACAATATATAATGTTGCAGGAAAAATGTAACAGTTCACTCCAGAGTTAATGATATCCTTTTAATATTTGATTAAGAAAGGAGTTACTGTAGTGGTACCAAAATATTTGTTTTAAATAGGTTTCACACACATGTGACATATATGCTTCTAAAACAGATAATACAATTATATTTTTTTATTTTGTTTAGTATAAGGATATCTACTTTTTCATGTAATGTGGAATGTCATACTATAAATATTGCAAACTAGATTGCTTTAAAGTTATGTTCTAAAAAACTAATCACACTATCTTCTATGTTTATTAGGTGATAAAGCCTAATTGATGTATTAAAGATAACAAACTTTAAGAGAGATCATATCATAGCCTAGAGCATGTTTTGATACATTTTTTATTTAAACATACATATGCCAGAAAATATATTATCTTTGTATATGGAAAAATATGTAGTATATGTAAGCAGTTAGCTATTAGAAATATGTATTTTGATGTCATTTGAAAATGTGCACATTTCTACCATAAGTATCACTTTGTATCAACAGAGATACTGTAGCTACAGCAGAGTTTGTGTCTTAGATTCTGATTGGATGACCAAAATTTTGTATCTTCTTCACCTGATACCTGTATATTTGTTTAATTCAGTTATAGAAACCTTCCCTTTCACTCACAGATTGTTTAATAGTAGCAGGAAATTTTTCAGGGACTTCTTGAAAAAAAAAAAAAAAACAGTGGAGGAAACATATTAGACTGTGATGGTTTTTATTCTTCTGGGAAAAAGTTTTTTGGATTTTGAATAGTTAAAGGAAAGATTCTCATAAGATGCTTGTAGGCCCAAAATACACCAACAGCATCAGTGAATCAGACAGGAACAAAATAAGCTCACCAACTGAGAAAAAGATTGTTACTTGTCAGCAACTTCATCTCCTACCACACTTGCAACCTTCCTCAAAAAAAAAAAAAAAAAAAAAAAATCCCAGAGACTATTTTTGAAAAACTGCTAGGTTTCGTTTATTTATTATTGCTACACATTCAGCCTTTCACCCATTGCAGGTAATTTGTGTTTGCCACTGATTTCAGGGATAGTTGGATCAGATGCTAAATGCCCCTGGCTCCAGTTGCTTAACTCATATCTAGTAGGACCTTCTCACCAGAAAGCCTGTTGAGTCAGTAGAAGAAATCTGAAAGTCAATCTTAATGATTCAGTAAGTGTTACTTGACTGAATTCAGCTAGCTTATGGATTTTATAATTCTTGAAAAACTTCTAATATGACACAGAACTTACACTTTATTTTATTTTCAAGTATGTCAATTTCACACAAAAGCTGAAGCTTGAGTAAGGATACCAAACATATCTTTACTATTTGAGGGAGGACTGAGCAAAGAGCTAGTTATATTACTATGTGCGTGGAATAATTAATTTACTGCTTAATATTTGAAGTGTCCTATAATTACCGTTAAAGTACCTGACATTATTTTTTTGG